TTGCTAAACTATATTTTGACATCCGCAAAACTGGCCATTCAAATCTCACGCTATAACGCCCTCAACGACAATGCAGCTGCTGGTGTGATACAAGTATTCAAGGCAAGACTGCACTTAAGAATCGATGGGGAATATTACTTCTACAGTAGCACAGAATATGGTGTAAATAATTTTAACAACATATGGTCAACTGCATATTTCAGATGAACTAAAGTGATTTTTAAAGTAATTTTTAAATACATGTTTACTGTAATATAAGTGACACACTGTATTATGCTGTCAATGTTGTATAATTATAAATCGTAATTTTTATAACATTTTAAGACATCATACTTTTTTAGAGAAACCCAGATTAATTGTAATTTAATGTTTTGTAACTGACATTGTCTCAACTCATAAAGTTGCTAATAAATGATCATTCTAAAATCTAAAAATCTATTTTCTCGAAAGGCACTTCAAATAAAGTAATGCGTTGAGGGCGTTGGTAACCAGAGATATATTTTTACGCAAGTTAAGGGGTTTATATTACGCCACTTCGGCGATGGAAAGTGACTGCGTTCACTGTGAACACAAACATTGTGGTTTTTAAAAGAACTTTTGCGACGTTTTTGGTTCAAGGTAAGCTGGCAAGTCAGTTGATTTTACATTTATTTGCCCTACCTCACCGAATTATGTGCGTATTTACGTAGCGTTTCACCAGAACATGTTTGTGTGCATTTGGAACGACACTCTCAATGGCTGGATTCCATGCATTCGGAAAGCAGGACTTGTAAGCTATCAAGTGCACCAAAAGCCTCCACTGTGTTCAAATGTGTTTCATTAAATGCCTTTTCACACTGTGACAGGGTTTTATTTTGCCGTTGTTATGATACTGAAATCAATAAACATCGCTATATGAATTGCTTCCCGTAGTTGTTAGATTCACTTCTGCAGTGGATTTTGAAGATATTTTAAATTGAACTGCTGTTCGAGTGTGATTATCTGAACAGCAATATTTTTCTAATTTACATAATTATTATCACTATATCAGAGTTGTCATGTAGACATGTATTCGCGAAAGTCAAATTCCTTTGTTTAAAACACTTACATTTGGCTGCAAAAAAGAGACGTTTAGTTTTTCATACGTACGATTTTTTTCTCTCCAAAAGCCATATTGAAAGATGAATACTAACAATGGTGTTTGGTTTAGTTTAGTTTGGTTTTCTGTATGGTTTTACCCATATAAACAATAAACATTATTAACCTTTTTAAACTACAATCAATTTGTATTATCATAAACAAAATTAATCTATTTTATTTCAATTCAAGCATGAATAAAATAGGCAGATTAAATAGTGACAAACAAACAATGAGGCAGCGGATAGCCGTACAAAGCAATCATGTAAAGGAATGTAGAAAACGTGGAAGAATGCTAGGAGTAACGCGTAAAAATAATCATATGTATTATGTGTAATATGCATTTACATCCGTTGATGGTTCTAGTCACCATACCACTGTTCATCCAGGAAAGTAATCTCACAAACGCGAGTGGAAACTAATATGTATATGAGTATTGATTATTCGAACAAAGAGCGAATAGTTATGGAATCTATCGGTAAATAAAATAGAATACCTATCCAATGAGTAGTCCATTATTTAGTGTGTGTGCGTGTGGTTTACGTTTCTGGTTTTATAGTCGCCTTGTGCATTGCGGCAAGTCTAAGCAAGAAACACCTCGGTGTCATTGGTTTTATATTACATGCCGACTGCCCCCTATTGCTTTATTGAACACCATACAATAGCACACCATACAATCGACGCCATTGTGAATATGTCGCCTTCACCAGCATAATACAAGGTCCAACAGGCGTGTTATATACTAAAAGGTCGTTCACTTTCACATCATTCAATCCAATACTGCATTAAATGTACGGTAGCGAAACCATTCTGCAGTGTCTCGGATATCACCATGATCACAGCTGTAATCCTTATCAGTGTTGATCATACTATGCGTTAATAAAGGAACAAGTCAGCTATACACCTGATTGTATTAAAACGAGGTAACACCACGCGCAAAAAACGCAAAGGCCTATGGGTAGCTGCTTGTTTGCAAACAATAACACGCTATGGCCATCTGGCGCACGCGCAGGTGACGACTCCACCGCTTTAATATTTAGTTCTCTGCATTACTCACTTCACCGCTATAATAGGATCTCCGCTACCTCATTATTTTAATTGCCCATGTTGTGCATGCTTGTCGGACTCGTGAAAGGTTGACGAAACGTGTCGCAGTTGTTACTACTTCTGTTGTTTTTATTACTTTGTGCGAATTATTGCAGATGAAAGGCAAGGTATATCAAGGATCTGTTCTTCTTGTTTTTGACTCCATCATAAAACATATTCTGGTTAATATTTCGAGACAGTATGTTTGTTTCTCAAGATAATCATAAAATTTCACTCAAATTGTTGTGGTTACAATTTCTCTCTGACCATCAAATTATCAATCACTAAGAAATGTGAACTAGAAAGTGAAATTATTAAAATATTGGGTTTGACTGAGATAAAGCATTTTTAAACATAGTAAGTTGCCAGAATGAAGAATTTTACATCATCATGATGATAACATGAACGAAGATGCCTTCCAAAATGGGTCAATTAGATAGATGTAGTAAACGGATATTTTGTTATAAGTATAAATGAAAACAATGTGTCCAACCTTTTTTTCAAATCAAGTATTTTATTTTTCTTAAATATATTATACTATCATTTTATAAGGTACATTGGATTTAATACAGTATATCTAGTATAATGGAGGAACACTTACATATATTTGTCAACTATGATATTATTACATGTTGTAGTATTGGATTAACATGAAATTTTATTAACATATTTATATAACTATACTATATATTTTTTTAATTTTGCCTGTATTTTTCGTGCAACATGTTTAAGTATAATATATTATTGCATCGTAGCAGGACTTTTATACTCGATTCGGCCATGCAGAGAATACCTATTACATCATTAGTTATCCATTCATATATATATATTATTTAATCAGGTATCTAATTGAAAAAGTTTGTATTAATTTGAAAACCAAAGATGATGAGGATTACACTAATTTTAATTTCTTTCTTCTTTTTTTTCAGATTGCAAAGAAACAATATGCAGTCCGCAGTGATGACACAGCAACCCATACCAATGGTGCAATCTGTATCAGTGGTACAACAACGCACGCCAACTTCCCAAATAAGAAAGAGCTTTGCCCATAAAACGATTATTGGTTTTGGCATCTCCCAAATTATATTGGGTTTATTGGTTATTGTATTCACTATTGTGATTCGAAATGTTGGGTGCATTGTTGTTAAGTTGGTTAATGGTGGTTTTTTGACAGGATTGTTTGTAAGTTGTAACTGATTTAAATCCCAGGGGTTGCACCAGTGCATCATGGGAAATGTAATTTGCATGGTCCGCCCAGTTGTTTACTTGGTACATAGCTGTTATCATTTCAACCCATTCATGCATCACGATATTATCCGATTTGAAAGGACTTGTTAAACCGCGTTCAACGCTCACACATGCCCCCACAATCTTTTTAAAGCTGTTTTCGTACTAGCATCATAGAGCTCCTTATTTAGTCCCGTGCTTGCAACGAAAACTGTGGTTTATTCGAATGACATACACAATGTATAGTATCGCATTATCGGTTTGGCAACAATGACGTATGCAACGTGAAAAAATTCAGCACCACAGGTGTTCAGATTGCCGAAAAGAGTGATTTTGCGGATCACCCCGAAGCAATGTTTCACGCTTGAGTGTCATTTGCATACTGAAAACTGACGGCCATCTTTCCTTTTATATATCAGTAACTAAAATTTTCAGCCTAATATTATAATATATATTTTCCTGGTGCTTTCCTGGTTATTTTAATTGTTTCACGATTAATCTATTGTTTGTTTACAGATAATTTCGACCGGAATTGCGGGATGTGTGTCTGGTTATACAAAGAGAAAAAGCCCAGTGAGTTAACAATTACACTTACAGTAATAAGCTTTTAGTTGTACATGATATTTGTTAAGGGTCCCATGCAATGTATGCATATTTACAACACGTCATTTACAGGAAATATGAACGTGTTCTGCATGACTAAATTCCCCATACACAGAGCTATCACATATCACTACATTTTGCTAATTGTAATCGTTGTGCTTATTAGCATTCTCGTGTATGTTTTTACCTAAATCCATATGTATCTTTTATGAACTAATCTTATCTTATTAATCCGCTAAATTGTACACATTTTCTATATTAGTAGCATATATACAATTACATACAAATAAGTGACATAATCTAAATTAATTCGAAGGTTTATTTTAATGAGCCATTACCGCATACATTCAATTATACATTCATGGTGGCGAAAAGAATTGTCTCGATTAGGTTGTTATGCCCATGTTTATTGTCTTTATACTTATTACGTCATCCGCTTGTGTGTCTGTTGACACCTGCTTAAGTAGAAAAACAATTTTTTCCTACTTTCTTGCCATATATTTTCTACATATGTTTGAGCGACAATGTCTGCCCGAAATTAATATTTTGATTTCGAGTCAAGGCCAGTGCTTCCACTGGGTCATGTTTACATCTTGCTCGTAGCATGCCTTTCTTTATTCATTATTTTTTCCTTACTTTTCCTTGGGCAATAAATATGAATTTACTAGTCACAGTTAAGTCTCAGGACGATTTTTGTTTTGCACCTATATATTGGTTTCTAGAATAATTTGCTAAATTTATTTTTAAATCTTTGTTATTATGTTTTACCTATACACTTTAGCTTGTATTACTATATTATCAGGTTCTCTTTTTTATATATATAGCTGCATATCTGGCACATTTAAATATTAATTGTTACAAAACACAAAATATTTTCTTTAAAATAACCATTTCCTTTATTTTTTCAATCTCATGAATTGTTTGTATACCCTGTAATGTAGATTGCGGGTTACATGCTAATGTCAATTATGTCAGCTATAGCGGCTGTCGGAGCATTGGTCGTATATTATTATGGTGTTGGTGCCCAGCAAAGATGCGATTTGATTATTTATCCATTAATTACATATTCATGTGATTATGAGCGTTATGTGAGTACAGTTATGGGAGATTTTCCTGGGCTTGACATTTTACTAGTATGCACAGTTTGTACGTTGGTTTTGAGAATTATTTGTATCAACCGAAAAAAGATATTATTAATGCACTTCGTATAGGCAATGTGTTATTTATAGTTGTCATCAGGCCATGACCACCAGTTTGTGGCTGTATTTTTCAATGGCCATATTAAGTCTACTGTGGAATTTACATGTTTAAACAAAAAATAGAATGTTTGAGAATATATTGGTTTACATTTTTAAGGTTTTCCATATGCATAGCGTGCACACCATGTTTTAGAAACACATGCAATACGATAATACAGCATGCATAATGTATTTCAAATCTTGTAAAATCATGTAAATGGCATGTAATGTCTGGACCTATATATTGTGCGAATGTGCATAAATTTACGATTCGGAGCGTGCAAATTCTAGTAGCAGTCAATAAATCGTTTATGTGAATCAGTGATTATTGTAAATGGTACCTGTGATAATGTAGACTGTCGACAGTTCTTGGGCCTAATAAATAGTCACTTATTTTCACTCAAACTACTACTACTTCCTGTTTATTGGCGACCCGTTTCGCTCATGATTGGTTGGACGGTGTATGACGTAGTTTGAGTGACAAGTCTCGGCAGGAACGTCACCGGGCAATTTCCAAGTAATGCCGCATAAGGGCGTTACATGCTATAACAGTCTCTCGGGCCATACGGCCCTCGCTTGAAATGCCTTCTGCATTTCAGTTAAAATGCCCACGGCGTTTGAAAATAAGTGACTCTATATTAGGCCCGAGAACTGTCGACAGTCTAGTAATAATGTTGCAGTAAATATATTCTCAGAGACTATTGTTTTGTAATGTGATGATAAAAGTGATCATAGGTTCGTATTAATATTATTACTTTATTGTTTACAATATATCATGCCATGTATTTTGTCTGTAGGCAACCTGTGTTGCATCCTATACTATAAATTTGATTGCATCGTTTGGAGTCGCCATCACTGCAATCATTGCTGCATGTTTATGTGGTCGTGCTATTTGTTGTATTTGTATTCGCGAAGTACAAGTAAGTTCATCTTTTGAAAAAAATAATTGTGTTTTATATATATTACAATTGTGAAATTTAACCAACACACACATTAGGTATATATTTCTTGTGGATAAAGCACCACGTTAATCCCTATGTCATTAACACTTTTTGTATATCAGTTTTTTTTTCTACCTATTTTATTTCGGTAATACTAATAGTACACAAATGCCCCGTTGGTTTGTTTTGCTGGCATAACTGCACCATCGTTACTTGTACGGGGTTTCTTTTGGTTCTGAATCATTGCATAAATACTTAGTAACGTTGTAAACATATTTGTATTCAACAATAGTAAACGATCTCGAGTATAATAATCTGAATAATGACCGGAAATTATATTATTTGACCAAAGCTTGTAATAAGCATGGTACATGAATGTTTTAAATAATGCTTTAACTATCCCCATGTTCACTACATGTATGATAATCGTGCACAGGAAATGTGTAATTTCTGCATTCTGTCGTTTTACAGGCGTAATTAAATTTATATTTTTTTCAGCGTATTTCATTGTTTTCTTTCACTCATATTTGATGAGCACACTTGCTTGTCTATTGTGAATTAAATGCAATACAATATATATCTATATAACTCTCAATTGCTCTGTTATGTGACCGTTGTAACCTTTTGTTTTTTGTTTCATTTCATTTCATTTCAATTCATGCTAAATCTTATGTATTATCTTTTATTAAATTTGACTTAAATATATATAATTATATTATACCAGTATATTGATAGTGTTAATCCATCGATTTGATTGGTCCGAATACAAAATTTGCATATGCAAATAATGGCATATTGGCTGATAATGCACGGCTAAACCGAGTGGCCCTGGAACATAATACGGAAATACATAAAACCGGTAGTATTTGATTTTTTAGGGAAATATAGTGGTTGAATTTTGAAAAAAATACCGAATTAAAAAACATCTGAAAAATTATATAACCATAATATTGTTTTTTGTTAATGACGGGATCCAAGTTGTGAGCGTTGGTCGCTGGGTGACACCATCGTCCCACAACACCGTGAGTTTTCTAAACGAACACCAGAGAACGCTTTGCTCTCCGTGTTGTGACTTTTAAATGATTTGCGAACCTCCAACAAAGAAAACATGATATTTAAGTTTAACTGGTGACCAACTAGATGAGATTGAGAGATTGAAGGACATAAAAAATACAAATAACAACGAATCACAGGCAAATATATATATAACTAATAACAACTGGTGTCCCGTAGCGGCGTTTGAATTCTAGCTGACAAAATTGCAATGAAATTGCACCTGGGTAATTGCCATCTGTTTCATAAAACACGGGACAACGCAGAATTCGACGACGATATATGGTATTGTAATTCCCCATTATGGGTAAATAAATTACAGGGGATGATGAAGGTAATTTTGTACAACAACCACTGCATTAGAGCGACGGCGTACAAAGTCTCGAGTGAGCTGAGACAAGGCATATCATGTACGTGTCACAAAAACCATTAAACTTCTCCCCATTAAACTTACCCCAGATCGACGACATAATTTGTCAGGCATACTGTCACACAACTTTGCTTATACCAAAGATGTATCCAGGTCAGAGGTCGCCGTGCCGGTCGCCGTACATGATACACCGCCACGTCTCAAACTTCGATCGAACCAAGTTTCTCTGAACGTCAAATATCCATTATCCTTATATTATCCAAATATCCTTATTGTCCCACTATCTAGCAATATGGAGGTCATCTGTATGCAAGTGTATACATTTTAATCATTAAAATTCATTTATATATCATTACAATAGACAGCAGTGGGTAATTCTCCTCCACCTACGGCGATGCAAGTTCAAGTCCAGCCCACATCTGGTAAATGTGTTTTTAATTCGGTAAAAAGTTATAGATAAATGGTTCGGGTTTGGTTCAGATTGTTGATTTTCTTACGCTCTTGCATATTTGGTGAGTCTGATATCTGGATATCCATCGTGTGGGTTTTCACTGCAGGCATAGTTATAAAAGTTACATTAAACTATCTCTTTACGTAAAGCATATGGTATAATTGTATCTCCTTTAATAAAAACACTTTCAACATTACAAATGTACAAAAAAAGAACCGTTTGTTTGGAAGTAATTGAAATGGCATCCATGTTCTTTGTACACTGCGAATTGAATATATATTTTCTTTTCTGTATAGGCATAGTAGAGAGTTCAATGAATCTTAATTCGCGGTTTGTAGAAACAATGTAAACGGAACACAGCTTTGTCATTAAAATATGGTTTTTCATTTGTCCAATTTCAGGCTATAATTATCCGCCTCAGCAGCAACCACAACCCACCATGATGATGATGCCACAGGTACAGATTACTCAACAAACTCAACCCCAGCCAATGTTTCAACAACAAGCACAAGACTTCCGACAACAACAGTCACCACAACATAATGTGGTAGGGCCCCCATCTCCTCCACCGTCTTACTCCAGCACTGAAGGCAATGCATATGTTGCTGATACCCAGAAAGTGCCTTTGGTACAGTAAATTTGGAAGTCATGTGAAGACATTACATATTCATTGTATTTTAACTCATTCAAAATTAGATCACAGGAGACAATTCAGCAACAACGCAGCTAACACAGCGACATTTCCCTGGATGAAAGGCAAATTGAGAAGCTAAATTGGTTACCCCAGCTTTTTTCTAATCACAATTGAAAAGCCCAGTTGAATTATGTTTGAAATCGAAATATAGTGAATATTAATGAACTTCACAAATATATGCGTGACATTTGTTACTCAATCGCCTCAGTCGTCATTTGCATATCGTGAAACAATGCTTTGACACTAGTTGTGTACAACACTGTGTATTGAATATTTCATTATTGTAAATATAAATATAAATATGTATTATATTGTAAATATAACCAAGAAAAAATAGTCTATTCAGATATTTTATATCTTTCTTAGAATCTACTGATTCCAAAGGGGACTATTTTGTTGAACGTAACATAAGTGGTAGGAAACGAGTGTTTGTATCACTCCACTAGTCTTTATATCACTCCCGGGAGTATTATTGTGAAATTATTCCTTTACAAAACTTAACATTCATTATAATTTATATTCCAGAGTGGTTTCTCATTAATATACATATGACATTCGACACAAATGTAACTGCTTCAGTGCTTCTCTTCATGTATGTAAAATTTGAAGATTTTGTATTGCAAAGATTTTTGGTGCAACACTATCCACATTTTTATGGATGATAAATTGATTTGTTATAAGCTGAACTGGGCCTACAAGTCTTGATAAACATTTTTGAAACAATACGGAAAAACTACCGCATGTTTATTTTGTGGGAGGTCAAAGTTACATACTGGTGTTTTTTAATGTTTATTGGTGTATTTGAAATATTTAGTAGCGTAAACATGTGTAAATTGCAGGAAATATGTCTTAGTGGTACATATTTCAAAGATCGGATGTTTCTGTTCTGAACTACTACATCATGAAGCAATACGAAATGAAAGACGAATCCTATGAATTTACGTATATTCATACAATCAAATGCGTAACACAATAAACTGCATATCTAATGCATATAATGCAGTACAAGTTATTTCCATATCCCAAATACCATGCAGTTCCATTAAGGGCGAAGCCATGGCAACCATGTTCCTGAATGTATCATGCATTCCTACTAATTGCTGCCTCAAATATAAAAATTAGTCAAACATAAAAAAAACAACACTTGGAAATACTGCAAATCTATCATAAATTCAGCATCCCCTTAAATTGTGTGCCCAGCAGGCAACATGTGCATTGTGCGGGCCTCCCCCTTAGATCGGACCATGTTCTAACAACACACATGTACGATCAGACTAGAACAACTTTGTCGAATGCATCAATGGAACGGACAGCGTCAGAAACAAAAAACAATTAAAATGGAGGGGTCGTCACATGTGCAAGAGCGAGAATTGAATCCTATGCGACCATAACAACGCACGCTAAAACACATAGAAGCATGGCAGACGCTTATTCGTGAACAAGCACAAGTTACATGGTGAACTTATATAAAGGTATAGGTAATATCCACATACGAAAGACAAAGTGTTACACATTAAATAATGTAAACGTGCCATTTACTGAACAGAAACTCGTCAACTTCGTCGCTTTTATTGTCGAAGGCAAATTTCCTTAAGAGCGAATGAATGACCGCGGAGACCTTGTACTTTCCAACTACACTAGCTGAACTATATACATATATATTTCTATTTCATTGTTGTTGACTTAAGGTAAGTAGATTTAGGGGAGAAGGGATCGCACAAACAAATCACAAAAAATAAATGAAACTCACACACATGTTATAGACGAAATCAGACAACTACACCTCAAATCTAAGTTCAGGAAACAGTAAGCATGCGGGTGTTTCTCTCAAACACCAAGCAATATCGGTATTACACGAAAGTGCCAGCAACGTGTTCTCAGTTCCATAATAACACACGTTGCGTTCACGGCACTCTGTGCTTTTATGTAAAAAGTTTTCTTTGGCATGGCTGGCTGTACTCATTCTTACTTTTTCTTGACCATTGTTTGGCCCACTACAATTTTCTCGTGATTTAGGCGGATTTTTGTCACATACAATAAACAGCAATAGCTGCAATGTGTACATCAGGGGGCTTTTATCATGCTTGTGATGTTGCTATTGTAGGTAAATGACCACAGCAGGAATGTACATAACTGTCATTTATTAGGCAGAAACTGATAGGGGCCAATTCCTTGTGCTGGTGTCTACATACATATGCACATCAGTGAAAGTTCTTAAAATGGTGCCACCGACCAACATTTGTAGAAAAGATATCAATCCTAAACATCTCATCTTGTCTATTAAATATATCTTTTTTTCCCTGGTGTTAGAAACATTATACACGTGGTATGCCCAACTAGAAACCTAGTATCCGCATTAATATGCTTACATATAGATCAGTTTAAGATTTTCATAACATTATTTCAGCGCATTGTTTACCGTCAAAAGTTTAGTTTGTTCTGTGTTTCACCCACAGAGCTTAGGTTTCCTATGAGCGGGTTATGTGTCACCAGTATAGTTTTTGTTAATAAACTATGTTACAAATATTCGCGGGATACATATTTTGTGAAAGTTTACGACACCAATTACGATTGTGTAAAAGTACAATATAAGTAAGATTACAACTCAGTAGAGTTCATAGTGTGAAAATGGGTTTTAAAATTGTGATGCTTCGTGTAAAGTTCGAGTGGGTTTGTTATAAACGGCAAGCCATGGTATTTGTTAGCAGATAAAAGAGATGTCTGGGAAAATACTGAAGGTACTGTTTATAACCTCATCATGACATTACCATCTTGAATAAGCTGTAAACAATACAAATTCCAAAATACAAATAGAGAATTTCTCTCTGATTCACGCTCAGTAACCGTAGTTTAAAGGGCGGTGGTCGTCGCACAGCGCGTGTTCGAATTTCATGTAAACAAACAATGTATTTTACACGCGTTGTATACGTCGCTATGAGTTCCACGTCGAACAGGACCCGGCGCGACGACCACCGCCATTTAACTACAGAAATCAGACGATATAATATTTTCTTAAAACTGCAACTGTTTATTTGAAATTACATCATAGATGATCAGTACAGCTTATATAAACACAAGTGTAAAATATGTAAATCAGAGATTAACAAGCAAGTACTACCTCAATCATAAAATGGCGGTTGAATTTGAGTAACATATTTTTCGCTCGATACTTGTTCATGTATTTTCAGTTTAGATGAATTATAATAGCTGGTATAAATATATAGGGTACAGTTATTGAGCACATTTTCCGTGGTAATCAATTTTTTTACGACCAGCGATATTTTTGTTTTATCATGTTCCCAATGTATTATGTTCCAAAAGGCTATTGACGGCCACCGATATTTTTTGTTTCATAGTGTCCCCAATGTATTATGTTCCAAAAGGCTATTGACGGCCACCGATATTTTTTGTTTCATAGTGTCCCCAATGTATTATGTTCCAAAAGGCTATTGATGGTCACCGATATTTTTTGTTTCATAGTGTCACCAATGCTTATTATGTTCCAAAAGGCTATTGAGTACTAAAGTTTCTGCTCACCCAAGGAATTACTAAAAGTACGTTGGAGAACAGAAAATGGTTACTGCAACCCAGTAAGGTAACGGCCATGTTTTTTTTTCTTTTGTATTTTGCGCTTGTAAAATCAACATTTTCATTTCTAGCAGGGATTTGATTTCAACTATCGGGTTCTGCATTTCAAATATCGTTTTTATAATAACATCTAAATCTTTGATGAACAATCCACTATACACGCAAAACTAAGGACGTCTAATTTTAAGCTCTATGATCCCATCACAGAACACCAAGGTTTTTTAATAACTCTATCCAATTTAATATTTAATCAAATTCAGCTTGGTCCATGTGAAATTTAAACCTTTTCAACAACGTTAAAAACATTCACCGTGACGACCTACACTCTCTAACCATTCATCTAATAACCATGTAACTGTTTGTATATCCATGATGGGATACAAAGACCATTGGTGTCATATTTCTAGATATTTTAAGCACTCATTCTAATATTTTTTGTACTATTTTCTACGTCACTCTATAAGATTCTTACTTTTTTATCTCTTACTGAATCTATTTTGAAACACAATGTGTCATTTACGTTTCATATGCATTTGTACAATACAATATCGACCATATTTTCAAACATAATTATTTAAACATGCTCAAAACTAATTATTTAGATAATTATGTACTCAATGAACAGTAATTGATGGTTCTATTAAAAAAGAACGATTTTATATGTCAAACATGCATGTACAGATGAACATTAGTGATCATGTGATACTTACTTACTTACTTATTTATTTACTTACTTACTTGTATAAACGAAACTAAAAGTGCATTTACTATACATTTACAAATGTGTAACTATTTGTCCTTCGTCGCCAGTGGAAATCCGAGGACGGTATTTCCACATAAAATAAAGAATTGCACATAACAAAAACGCAAAACCCTTGAAACCAAAAGTTAACCCAGCTATATAATATTTTAATAGGTCATTATCGTAACTGAGGCAGTCTCCTTGTACTGTAGTATCATAGGACATTTCCCACTGTGTGCATGCGTTGTCAATTACATATCCGTATAACACAGGGAAAGGAACTGGTCCTATTAATACAATGCACAAGAATTATTAGTATTAGTAAGACAGTGTAAATAGTTATTTTAACTTGCACAATTTACCAAACACCAACCACAAAATACAACACTGTCCGATAACCCCTGCATCTGACATAACACGAGTCACTAACATTTTACAGTAAGCAATACAAACGATAACATTTCCCCTATTCAACTAATCAGATACAAAGGAAGTTCGTGATTCTGCGCAGAAAGTGAAGAGAAGTTATGATACTTACCAACAAATCGTGCTAAAATAAATTGCATAGCTAATGCAAAGGTCTTATCTTCTTTATTTACAGATC